TTAGGAGGTGAAGAGACCCGGGTGTCGGCCTTCGACAGGCTCGACCACGGACCGGGAGGTCACCCGGGCGACCTCCGCCGACAAATAACCGAAGGTAGGCGGAGACATGCTGAGGAGTCCGCGACCTCGGATGCACGCTCGGCCAGGCCCGAGCGGAGCGGAGAAAGACGGGACGAGCGCACCCAGCGTCGCCATAGTCATACAACATCTGAGAAGACAAAGGCTTCTGACCAGGGGGTATCTCTGCTCGCTCGTGAGATTGCCGAGCTCAAGCGCCGAGTGGAGACCAGGGCTCCCTACAGCCAGCCCATCTTGCGGACGGTAACCCCGTTCACTCCGAGGGTTATGTCGGTTCCGCTGCCGGCAAACTTTCGGCCGTGGCAGATCAAGGCCTACAACGGAACGACGGACCCCCAAGATCATTTGTCTAAGTTTTATGCCTCTATGGAAGCGGCGGCAGCCCCGGACGAGGTCAAGTGCCGATGCTTTCTCGCGACGCTGGAGGGCTCCGCGTGCGATTGGTTCAACCGGCTCCCGAAGGGAACCATTGACGATTCGGATACGCTAGCGGAGAAGTTCTTGACGCACTTCGCAGCCAACCGGAGGCAGAGGCTACCTTACTCCCACCTGCTCAACATTTGCATCTGCAAAGGAGAGAAGGTCCGTGACTTCATAACCCGGTGGGAGAAGGAAGCCAGAGATGTGCACGGGGCGGATGATCAAGCATTGGTGGCCATGTTCCAAGCAGCCCTTCCCCGCGGTGAGGTGAGGAAGGAGCTCCGCAAGAATCCTCCCCCCACGTACCAGGAAACCTTGGCGCGCTCTAAGTTCTTGGCCTCGGAGGAATTCGATGATGCCCCTGACTCCGAGGCCGCGCCGGCCAAGCGAGCTCCCGCAGATGCAGAGGAGATAGCGAAGAAGAGGAAGAAGAAGAAAGACCACACTGTGGGCCCGAGGACGCCCTCGGCGGGTGTGTACTCCGTGGGTGCGCCTGCGGGGACGGGTCGAGAGCTGGTCCTCTC